GGCTGTTGTGGGGGCCACGGCTGAATCTAATGATGTCTCCTGCAGTCCGCGGTGTGAGATGCACTCCCAAGGAAAGACAAAGGGTCCGCTGCCTATCGAGCGCTGCGTCCACCGCCCAGTCAGGTCTTTCGGCTGAGGATTGTGCTTACCATTCACCGTCTCGTGGGTCGTTGTTTTTGTTGCCTTAGCTGCGCCTGAACTCAGCCTTAATACAGGATTGGCGTTCCGCGGCGTGTATATATGCCGTCTTCCTGATCGCTCATGGACTGCTATTTGTGTGGACTCTAGCGTCAATTTCATACCAATTCTCCGACTTCACGATCGATATGGGTGACGACAAACCCTGGGGAAGACGTTTGGTAGTCTGCTGCGACGGTACTTGGCAATCGAGTGTCAGTATCAAGGAGAATGTCCCGTCCAACATCACCAAGTTGTGCCGCTTGATCAATCGCATCGGTTTCGATCAGAAGGATCGATCGAAGAAGTTTCATCAGATCGTCTATTACGACAGCGGCGTCGGCACCGGGAACTTGAGCAAATCCGAACAACGCAGACAAGGTGGAACAGGTGCTGGCCTTGCTGAGAACGTCATCGAGGCATACAATTTCATAGTCTTGAACTACGAGTCGGGCGATGAAATCTTTTGTTTTGGGTTCTCAAGAGGCGCATATACGGCAAGAGCCGTCGCAGGCTTGGTCTCAGACATCGGAGTTGTCAAACCGATTCACATGCAGTTCTTCCCAGACTTGTACCGTGCGTACATGGCTAACGACGAGGGTCATGAGTTTCGTAAAACACAAGGCTGGAAAAACTTTGTTGATGGAAAGCTGAGTAAGAAGGGAGAAGAATTGATCGCACAAGGGGTCCATTTGGACCACGCCAATCTACAGCAATTGGCAGAGGCTTGGGAGATACGTCCGCACGGAGAACTAACCGTCAGCCCGGAAAGCCGGAACGTTAGTAAGTGTCGAAACATGAGGTGTTTGTGACACATAAACTGACTTCGTACCTTCTCCTTTGGTAGAAGTCGTGGGTGTCTTCGATACGGTTGGCTCGCTAGGTGTTCCAGATATGCTGGGCCTCAATCTAGCTCGGAGCAGGACAAAATATGGCTTCCACAATGTCAAGCTAACCGAGCGTGAGTACGTCTAGTCGTTCCATCACGGCAATACTAATAGATCGCAGATATTCAGCACGCTTATCAAGCACTGGCGCTTGATGAACGTCGCAGAGCTTTCCGACCAACTCTTTGGTACATCGAGAAGGATCTGGTCGATGATCCAAAGATACAAACCCCAGAATTGAAGCAAGTCTGGGTAAGTACTCCTCTATCCATACCATTCTTTAGCTTACGGGAACAACGCAGTTCCCTGGTGTGCATATCAATATCGGTGGAGGCAATTCGGACGCCTTCTCCGAAATGAAGGCTGACAGCGAGAGTACGTCACATACTCGTGATTACTTCTGATATTCTAACAATATTCCCAGACATATCAACAGCTACACTCGCGTGGATGCTGCAATGCATTTCTCCCCATCTGACAATCGATCCGAAGGCATTCGATGAGTATCTCAACCAGTACCGTCGCTGGCTCTTCCGAATTCGCTACGCTTGTACATATCATCATGAGACCGCCCTGGACAAAATCAGAGACTTCCTTCCACACATACCCTTGATCAATCCCGCTCCTGGGGAACTTGAGTCTCCTAGGATGGATCCGTCTCACGCACATACAGAGTTCGATTTTAGCTGGGGTACTGGCCCGCTCGTAGATTCTTTTGGAGGCATGTACCACCTTAACGGCACGCATACCAGGATTCCGGGTCATGAATACGGCGAGATATACGATGCGAAGGAGAAAGAATTCGATTGGAAACCTCTTCGCCCTCTGGGTCAGACGAATGAGTACATCCATCCAATCGTCCTACACCGCAGCCTTGTGCACGGCTGGGACAAGCACTCTCCGCTCAAAGACGGCTGGAACCGCGACCACTGGCAAGGATCGGACGGAAAAAAGCGCTTCTGGTGGTACATGGATGGCGAGAAGGATACGGTTGCGCTGCCCGAGTGGGCGATTTTGCCGGATCGTGAGGGCAAGCCAAATTTTGAGCGCGCGTGGTACAAGAAGTGTGAGAAGACGAGAAAGACGCTGGATGCATTGAACAAGGTGAAGGACTATGGAGACAAGGACTTTTTGGAAAGCTTGGATGCGAAGATTGATTTTTCGTTTGATGAGGGTCGGGAACAGAATGAGTGGCCATGAGACTGGGCAGGTATATTATGACGTAGGTCGGAGTAATGGTGCTCGCAATTTAATGCACGGTTTCTTGATAGTTAGCAACACCACCTACTCGCCTTATCGCAGCGCAGAAGTCTCTTCAATTGCTTCCAGCAGCAACAAGCTTAGTACGTATGACTCGAAGCATTTGCATTACCTCTTGACGACAAATATAAGATGCCCTGAGGTCTGATTGGCGAAACCTACTCTCCACAACCATGTTGAGTAACAATTCCGCCGACATGCCACGCCCGTTAGCTTGGAATACGAATGCGATGAATCTGGGGTATGCGTCTTCTCCAGATTACCGGCATATATGCCTTCCTTGCCGCGGTATCTCTCGTGACGAAGAACTTGATCTTCCGCCAGTTGCATGCGACAATGCAAAGGTTTGTCTTGCCGATGCTCATATGCAGCCCTGCGTGGGTAGACTCTGAGGATGTAAGCCTGTAGTGTCTTGCTTTTAAGCACCAGGAGACCAGAAGAATGTGTAGACGATGGTGCGGTGCTTGCCTCGAATGGTCGCTTTCATGTGTCCTGAAGCTTTACACAGAGCTACGCTACCTGGCTTGGCTTGACTAGGTAAACAAACGAGAGCATTGACGACTGGTTTAGACTGCCGTTCTGGTTTCCACATCCCAAGGCCCGCCAGCTCTACGATGACGAGGGATTGTTATACCATGTCCACGGCGGGAATTGAAGAACTCTCAACTCCCAATACTTGATATTGCAAGTAATCGGAAAAGAAGGGCAAGGCGACATCAAAACCTTACTATAATACGAGTCAGGATCGGCCAATCCCGCTGGCTACATAAAAGTCATGACCTTGGGAGGCCTGCGAGGTGTGACAAGAATTCATCTACGATAAGCGTTGCTGCGGTCAATTCCAGAACTTGTTGATAAGAGGTGGAGGCTCATATTTGAATGTAACGGAGGACAAAGCCTTAGAATCTCGGTGAGTCTTCACCCGTTTGTTCAACGGTAGACTGCTCTTCTGTTAGATTTGCCGCATTCTTGCAGCGTCCCACGAATTCTCTTGCAGCAGGCTGATGTAGCTGGACGTGATGTACACATACACGGAGTCCGCTGTGGACGATTCCTCTAATGACGGCGGTGAATTGGTGAATGGTGGAGTATCTGTTGCTAGGAAACACGAAGGATCCCCAAGTGCGCTAAGTCCTACAATACTGCTCGTCGTGTCTCGATCGAGTGAGGTTCAATGACAAGGAGCGGGCCAAGCGTTTCATGCCGCCATCAGGATGGTACCACGAGGACCCGCTGCCACCCACGTGTGCCTTGAACATGAAGCTCACCGCTGCCCTCGTAGCCGTTACGGCTCTCCTCCCAACTGCTTCTGCATGCAATGGCTACACTGGCGGTCTGCCCACGCCCGTGGGCACCAGGACTAACAGCAAGGTCATTACGGTCGCCGCAGGCCAGGTCTATGACGGTCAATGGTACAAGTACGACCGTGGCAGCGGTGCTTGCTCTGGTCAGACTGAGGGAGGTACGTAATTAATCCGCTCCATATTCTCCATCTATAAGGAGTACACTGACGAAACAATCTAGGCGCTGCTGATGCTGTCTTCCTACTGAAGGCAGGCGCAACTCTTCGCAATTTTATCATCGGCAAGAACCAAGCTGAAGGTGTTCACTGCGAAGGCCACTGCACTCTTGAGGTATGACTCTAGCCTGTACATAACATATACATACTAACTCTTGTAGTCCGTCTGGTGGGAAGACGTCTGTGAAGACGCCCTCTCAATCAAGCAAGACAAAGCCGGCGCCCAATCCTGGATCATCGGCGGCGGCGCCTACCACGCATCCGACAAAGTGATCCAACACAACGGGTGCGGTTACCGTCAATATCATCAACTTCTATGTCGAGGACTACGGTAAGCTGTACCGGTCTTGCGGAAATTGCTCGTCTCAGTGCAAGCGCAACGTATACATCGAGGGTGTTACGGCAAAGAATGGTGGCGAGCTCGCTGGTATCAATAGCAATTATGGCGATACGGCTACGCTTAAGAATGTTTGCTCTGATGCGAAGGTCAAGTGTCAGATGTACAATGGTTGTGCGGGCGGATGCGAGCCTAGGAAGTCTGGTGTCTGCTCTGGTTGATCTGCTCACGAGACGAATTGGTGAGCCATCAAATAATGAGTAATGATTGATAGGTGTGCCTCGTTTTGCTACACCGTCAGCATTGGTCTTGTAAATACTTTGTACCCTTCGCGGTAGATATATACTCTTCTAAAATGGCAGGACCTTCTGAGGTTATTCAGACTCCTACAAGGTGACAAGCCGATCCTAACAGTCTGCGAAAATCGAGCCCAGCGGACATGTATTGTCGCGGCATCTGGTGATGCTCGACTTGCTTCTGGAGCAAAGAAGTTGACACCTTGGCCCGAGTCAGGGGTAGCGAAAGCATTGCAACGGCCATTCTCATGCAACACATTTGGCCATGCGTAAGGTATTTCTAAGAGTAAATGCTTTGAGTTCCAGGTCGGTTTTCCTGCCTTTGTGCAAAATCTCGGTAGGGTTCAGACCGGTGCCGGCTTCAGAAGATGCCCCGCTCAGTGGCACATTTCAATGCAACATGACTCCACAGCGAGAAAGAACCTCGCCAGTATTTCCCTACGACTTGATCGCTCCTGCCTCTAGAAAATTGTTAATTATTTAAAATATATATTGGCTAATTTCTCAAAAGATAAGTATTCAATGGGCGTGTGGCTCAGTGGTAGAGCGTCCGCTTTGCATAGTTTGTGTATCTTGCGGAAGGTCCAGGTTTCGATCACCTGCCCGTCCACTCTTTTGCAATTTTTCTTGATTGCACGTTTTTTTTTTTTTGCGTGTGCTGGCAACATGGTTGGTGGATCCATCATTGTGCATGCTTTGGCGCGAGCGACCACTGGAGTTTGGTGTGGGTCCGCACCCACGCGCCATCCCATCTCTAACGGAACAACACATTGCGTTTTCTGGGCTGCACCTTATGTATTGCGCGTAGGTAAAAAGGGATACTTGAAGACGAATTGCCTGTTGAATGTGAACGTAAGAAGGGCTCGACTGACATGATGGATGCGCGTGAAAACATTTGGCAGCACCGGCCTGGTTCTTTAGAGATGAGGAATAATATTGCATAGTACACTGCGCTGCGATCATCAGCACATGATTATCGAAAACCATGTCCGCAGAATCAAAATCGTAGACTGGTTACTAGATGCTGCTCATGAGAATGTCAAATGCTGAATACCGACAGGGAGCACAGCCACAACTTGGCGCATGCTCGGACGTACCACGTCGTCAGCTCCGTGAACACCAGCTGCGCGTTGTCTCACACCAAAGGACACATTGATTGCAACACCCATATTCGCGCCTTTCTCGATCACTGAAGTTGTCTCTCGTACACGATCGCCGACGTGACAATAATTCTTGGGCCGGACGCGCGTACATTCTTGAATAGCTCAGCGTTGAGCACGGAAGCTGTCAATAGCTTCACAAACTCTCGCTATCGCAACCACACCACGACCAGCGCAATGGGTTCACTAGGCACATACTTTCTGGACGTCGTCTACTCGTTCACCAATTGCATGGTCTGCTTCCCAAGCTCACCACAGCTCAAGATCAATAGCCGGAGTTTCAAGATTCTGAGATTACTAGGCGAAGTATGTGCCTTGCTGTGCATCCGACCTCCAATGGCTAATCGCAGTCGCAGGGTGGCTTCTCGTACGTGTACCTAGTACAAGACAACTCAAATCAGCAGCTCCTTGCCCTCAAGAAGATTCGATGTCCCTTCGGCCAAGAAAGCGTGAGCCTGGCGCTCAAGGAAGTCGAGGCCTACACTCTCTTCTCGCCGCACCCAAACATCATCCACTCGATAGACTACTCCGTTGAGACGGACAAGTCAGACCCGTCCGCGAAGACCGTATACATCCTCCTCCCATATTACCGACGCGGCAATCTACAAGACATGATCAATGCGAATCTGGTCAACCACACAAAGTTTCCTGAGCGGAGACTCATGGTGCTATTTCTGGGTGTGTGTAAAGCTCTGAAGGCTATGCACCAGTACAAAATCAAAGGAGGTCCTGGCGGCGCGCGAAGTGAAGGCAAGGCAAAGAAGGTCCGGAGAGAAGCTGCGCGCGCAGATGCCGAGGCAGCCCAGAGCATGGAGATGCGACCAAGTAGAAAACACCGCGAACACGACGATGATGACGAGCAAGAAGCAGAAGGTCTACTGGAAGAGTCGGAAGTCACAATGGCGCAAGAAGGTATTGCGCCTGGTGGAGCAAGGGCATATGCGCATCGCGACATCAAGCCTGGTACGACCTATCGCTCGTTCAATGGAGAGAGAGAGTAAGGCATGCTAATTTCGCTGCAGGAAACATCATGATCGACGACGACGGCAAAACACCCATCCTCATGGATCTCGGCTCCCTCGCGCCCTCGCCCACACCCATAACATCACGCTCGCTCGCCCTACAAGTCCAAGACCTCGCCGCCGAACACTCCACAATGCCGTACCGCGCACCCGAACTCTTTGACGTCAAGACCGGCTCTGTAATCGACACCAAGGTCGATATCTGGTCGCTTGGTTGCACACTATATGCTTGTTTGGTCGGCAAGAGTCCGTTTGAGTTCCGGTCAGACGAGACGGGTGGAAGTCTGAGCATTTGTGTGCTTGGCGGTGATTGGAGATTTCCGGATGAGGGGCCGCAGAGGGGGAAAGCGAAGCAGACGGAAGACGCGATAAGCGATCCGGTAAAGGAGGTTGTAAGAAAGTGTTTGATGCTAGAGCCGAGTGAGCGGCCGGATGTGGATGAATTGATTCATATTGTGGAGGATCTACTGAAGACGATGCCAGAGGACGGCTCAGAAGATTGAAAGCTACCGGCTGGGAGGATTGCATAGCGAATTGCGTCGGAACTGAAGCACTAGGCTCTTTTGCCAGAGTTTCCTTATCACTTTCACGCGCTTTCTCCTCCATATCTCCCTGTTCTCGAGAGCAGGTTTGATCTCGCGCAAGCCAGATCAGCGTCTCTGGGTCTTCCTGAACAAAGGTGAATATCCTCACATGCTCGTACACTACAGGACCCGCTAGTCAATGGCCGATGTAATTTTGTTCGAAGGCCCAGGGTGCATCGTTGAAGCTTCTTAGTGTGATCCGGTCGCTACGCTTGCCGAGAGCCTTGGGACATTGGTTTTGTACGCAAAGTGACACTTTATTCGATGACTTGGAAATGTGGTGTGTTTGATTCAGGCTTTCCTTTCGCGTCAAAGAACCGGATTGATCGGCCTCAACCGAACTCTACGTCATCCTCAGACATCGATTCCATGGTTTCCTCTTCGGACGTTTCATCCACTAGATAAACACTGGCCTGATAGCCGATGGCTGTCAAACGCCAGAGGTCCAGTTCGCCATACCTCGCTTTGGTTAAACGTTCGGTTTTCAGATCGCAGAAAGTATCGGCGTGAAGCTGGTATTCGTGCTTTAGAATGGATTCAGGAGAATAGGGACTATCAGTATTTCTCCTGTCTTCGGAAGGCTCATCCAGACTGAACATTGCATGGGTACCGCAGGGATGGCCTGACGTTTGCGGATGGTGCTCTGAATAGAAGTCGAAAGCCAGTCGCCACGGGACGAGGTCTGAAGCTTCAACCCCCTCGACAGTGAAGGTTATCCTCATGAGCCCGTATCTTGAGACCTCCTTGAACATAGTTTCTACATATGTGATGCGGGTCGTCTTGTCCGAAGGTGTTACCAGGACTTCGACGTCTCTTGCTCTTGCTTGTGTGTTGGCAATCGCCCTGCGAAATTCACCAGGCGTTATCGTGAAGTTCAAAGTAAACGTTTGCTGATCCCCATCTATCCATGGCTGGCCCACATAATCGCTCGTGATGAAGTTGGCGCTACGGACGGTGTCACGTTCCTCGTGCCGGTTGAGGAAGGAAAATTGGGACGAAAGCGCAAGATCAAGATGCCATTTTCTCGATTTAACATGCCTGGACCTTTTACACATGGCGTATATCGCACGATTGAGACTGTCGTCTAGTGAGTCGATTGGATGCCTTTTGTATCCGTCAGCGGAAAGTGAGACATTGTTGGCGTGGTGTTTCGATTGGACGTACGGGCAGAAATGGAAGTTTTGTGCTAGATGCAGCGACACCTCCTTGTCCATCACGGGACTACCTCCTCTTGTTTTGGCCTTTGAGTGTAATGTCAGTCTTATCTTGAACTGAGCAAAGCTGAGGACGTGCCTTACATAGCCAGATATGTATTCACTTGGCAAAGACGATTTACAATTTTTGCATTGTCGTGAGGGTACGTAGTGCTCAACCGAATATGCAGAGATTGAGTTGATTTGTTCGGTCGACCCCCTGAGCTTAGACTAGAGGAACTATTAGCTTCATAATGATCTTCGGAAGAAGGAATGAATTACTTCGCTCGTATCCACACTGAAGAGCCAAAGGTCTTCAATCAATCCTGCTAGAGCGACATTTAGATTCTGGAATTCCGCCTGGATGGAGAAAAGCAAGTACCGTCGCTTCTCTCGTCGCATGGCTTTGAGAGTCGATTCTGGATTCAAGAGACTAGGTAAGTGTTCGTGGGCACGGAGCGTCGCATAACTCAGCCACAGGTCGTGCATATTATCCAGATGTAGGCCCTTGACTTTCGCGGGGCGGCATTCTCCAACTTTTAGACCCATTTGGTCGCCAAGGGCACTGAGAGTCCCGATCAGCCACATCTGAGAAGTGTGCATCGTCATCTTCATCAGCATCGCTACTGCGTCGGCCAAAATATCCTCCGCTGATTTCAAAAAGTCTAGATCTGCATAGTCGAGCGCATACCGATGTGGTCCCATCGTTCCATGCTCAGCTTTAGTGATCATGATGAAAGTAGCATGACCGAAGACAGCACGCACAGGGAGCGCATAGTCAATATCCACCCTATCCGCTTCGCCGACCAGCCCTTGTAAGCCGTACACTTTGTCCCGAGGCTCTGTGCATTCATTCGTGCTGAACGTCCATAGGAGACTGGCGTAATCGTACGTTTTGGCCGAAAGAGCGTGCTCAGCAAGCCACTTGACCTGAGGCGTAACATACATGGCCGCGCTTTTGGAGTCCTGCATCGGCGATAGACAAAATCGTGCTAACTCCTCCCAGGAAAGCAAAGTCTCCCCGCAGATGATGCGAATGTACCTAGCCAACATGATCTCTTGAACGACCCACAATCTCTGCCAGTAAGGGTTGTCGAAGAACTGCTGGAGGGAGTTGCTCGAGATTGGTCTGCCTTGTTCTTGGTCAGATGGGCAAGAGTCAAGCGCCTCAACCTTCTTTGGGCGCCCATCAGCACCTTGCTTTGTACGATTATTCCACGTCGCTATCGCCGACCGACCATTGTGACAACGTCGCAGATGCAGCTTCATTGATGTCACGACTGCTTCAGTGCAGTCATTCGAGGCTCCCAGCCATATATAGACATATGTCGCCCACGTGTATATTTCCGACATCATTTTGACTTGGTGATTTCTTTCATGAACAACTGCTTGCGCAATGCATATCTGATCAATCCAGAGCCATTGCACTTCGTCAACGTACTGGTCACAACCTCGGAATGTGTGGAGACGTTTCCTAAAGGCCAAGAGGAAATCAAACAGATTTTGTCGCACGTGGAATGGTTGATTGTTCACTTGGATTTTGCAAGTTGGTGTCGGTGGACCCCAGACATATGAGAGAGCGCGATAGTCAGGAGTCCGAAACCTGTCCAATGTGATAAGTTTGACGGTGCACACAATAGGACCGTCGGAC